TCAACATTTTACCACGCCTTATTTGCCTCCAAGGAAAGGAATTAATTGCTATTTGACGGGACCAATCAAAGATGTGTGTGACGACAGCCCTTCCGTCTTTAACCAGCACTTCATAGTTTTACAGGCAATAATTTAGTGACTCATTTTAGCAGCTACTCATTAGTAAATTACTAATTCACCTTTGTTACTGAATAGTTGTCGGTCACAAGTGAGAAGGAAAGTGACTAATTTAATTAAACAAAAACAATTTAGCAGTTCATGGAGCATTTCTGCCGCAAGCGACCCTTTCCTTAAAATCGTCGCTTTAATAAAATCGCGCTAAATCTGCCCACCGACTGCCATGGTCAATTCAGCTTCCACTAGACTACCACTCTCAGCAAATATGAAGTGTTAGGAGGAAAGAAGTGAGTCGGTACAGCCAGCTAGTGGGAGAACTGTTCGGTGGATTCTCTTACAAAATACCGCATAGGAACGTGAGTAGTAGGGAATTCATACCAATGTGGTTACCTTTCACGGAAGCGAAATGCGATAGGTATGTGGGTAGTGGCGGTGGCGGCATCGATAGCGGCATCGGCGGCGGCAGAGGCGGCGATGAGAAGTGTATGCAGGAATAATGAATTGCCGATAGCACATTGATATAGCTTCCCTTCTACAGTTCTCCCCGTCCTCTGGTTACTCCCACTTTCTGCTCAAGTGCATGCAATTGCATTACGTGCAAACCATAACGGCTGACCGCTATTCCCTTTCCTCTCTCTGCTCTCCCTCCGAAGTGTAGACAAAAAATAATTTTGCTCAAAATTCAGTCAGCTCGATATTCTGTTTTGATAGTTGGCAGTCCACCTATTCTGTTCTTTCGTTTCATTATGCACGTCGAAATTAGTGACGATTTCGTGGGATTTGCGTAATCATCGCTTCTGCATCACGTAGTAGACGTTGGTGACAGCTTCAGCAATCGTCTCAACTACATCGCTTTGCACTCTGCAGAGCCAATAATTACCCAATGACACATACACGACTTGAAGACAAAGTTGTGTCAATTGTAAATCGGCTGAAAATTTCGTTACAAATATGCCTCTTCAACTGAGTAATAAAACGTGTCGATCGTTTTTTGATGAATTATTTTAACACTCAAAGAAACAAGCGTTAGCACATGCAGAAATAAGTCCCTTATCAAGAACCGTTCCCTTTAGTGACACAAAGTATTTAGGGTCCTTAGATAACTTCCAAAAGGCAGTTGGTTACTAACTTTGAAGCAGTAATCTTCGGCTGAAGAAAAGTTAATGAGTCCGTGAAGCCTAACAAACCAAAGATGACAGAGAGTGAATCATGGCGTAGTACTGTAAAGAATTGATACTTTTGTTGCAATGTATTTAGCCACGAGACCACTTCCGTCCCCTCAATTTGTGACATGACGCTCAAACCAGTGAACACTGACATTAGGAAAGTTGGCACAACATGATGTCGCTACGAAAATTCTTAATGAATTTGGCACACTTTGATTCAGTTTAGTTAGGTGAAAGTATGAGGGATAATTAGGCTTATTACGAGCCAAAAATGTGCTTTTAGGAGAGTTAGACGTTAATGGTCATGTGAGTGAGTTAAATGGTCGAAGAGACGGTAAAAAATGGGGTTGGTGCACAAGAGCCAATCTTCGCCTCCTTCATACTTAGCCAAAATTCAATATGACATTCTCTCTTGAAGAAGCATGGGACACCTAGGAAGCCCATAGACAAACAATGTCATCGGAAGCCTTCCACTCTAGTATACAAACAAGTGGTGAAATAGTTCTGTTGAAGGGAAACAGGAGCACGCTCCACTGTGCAGGAATGCTGGAGAACGAGTGGGTAGGTCGGTGACACCAACCTGCAGTGTGGCAAAAAAATTGTCAAGGATGCATTGATGGCCAGCGGGCCGGTCATGCTGATGAAGGGAAGGAGCTGGAACGCGGTCATTTGGGCGCAGGCGCTAGCACATCATAATTGCGCGTCTTGATTCGTTTTCGCCCACTATGTGCGTATGCAACGAATTTTGTTTGGGAGTGAGTCAGAACTGAGAGGAGAGAACTTTTTGCATTGGCCTTCAGCCTACATACGCACACATTCACAATCGTTGATACTGCTTGTACATGCAAACTACAGTAAAATATCAACACTAACTAACTCAATGACCATTTAACTGCACTGTTTGAAACTAAGTTTGCATATTTTTTTCGACATTAAAAAATTCGCACTGATCATGCAGCCAAAAACAGTGGATGAGTAAATAAACTCGGGACATTTATGGATGTGCCTGGTCTCTGTTTTAACTTGTTCAGGATGCCTCCAGCTTTAATCCCTTTTATGTGGCAGTAAAATTTTGGAAATTTTCTTCTTGCTATCCTGAGTATTTTGTTGAGTAATAATGCGAAAAGAACTGTTCTAGACTTCTGTTTCAGCTTCAGCACTGACAAATATTCTACATCCTCTTGTTTAATTCTTTTCAGAAAGACTTTCTCACCCAGAAGTAGGGCTGTATCAAACACGAAATTCATCTCCCATAAGGGCGTCTACCAAAAATCAACATTTCCCTAGGCTACATTTTCTTCCCTGAATTATTGGTTGGCGTGTGGATACTACCTAGATGGATGAACTTTAAATATATATTCAAACTATTCACATCAATGTAGCTTAACATTGGAAATCCTATTCTATGATTATGCAATTGAATAGTAAAATTTAGGCTTTAGCAACAGTCTTAACATGGCAAAGGTTGCTGTTGCAGCGTAGTGTGTACCAATTCTGAGAATTTAGGTTAACAAATTAAGAACTTACGAATTACATGCAATTGGAAAGTCCTCTCGATTTTCGGTATGACGGAGGAGCTGGAGTCAGGAGCGGGATTGGTAACTGTACATCTGTACTCTCCCATGTTGCTAAGCGTAACCTTACGAATGGTGAGTTGGGATTCCGAGAAGCGGGCCACGTCAGCTCGCCCACCCCCACCACCCACACCCGCATTACTGCTGGCGCCGCCACCGCCGCTGCCACCAACGCCAGCGCCGACGCTAGCGGTGGCCCCGACTGATACAGGAGAGCCGCCACCGGGTGGTGCGCCTCGCGTGTTGCTGCGGCGTATCAGTCGGTTACCCATCGTGGAAGACGAAGGGCCCTTTCCAAGACCCTGTTTGTAGAATTCCCAGGCATAATCAAGTTGATAAGTCCTACCATCCGCCGTCACGCTGCTGCAGTCAAAGGTAACGTCCTCCCCCCAGTAACGCGTTATAACTAGCTCCGAATCGGTGTAACTCCTCAGAAAACACGGACCTATGCGCAGAAATAATTAATCAACAAGATTATCAACCTGCATCTGCTACTGAATTTGAATAATTTGGTGTGTGATTTTGATTTTAATCTGTTTCCCTTGAAGTAATCACTTTTAAGGCAATAGTAAATCGCCTAAAGTAGTTGCCAAACTAATGAGGAAACTGACCATTTAATAATTGGTGTTTAATCATCCAATAGGCTTATTAAGTCTGTTTTTATTTGGTTTTATTCTCTGGTAAGTTAACGTAGTTACGGTGAAGATAAATGGTTTCGTTTAGGCGTGTGAAGAGAAAAGTTGATGACTCTCACTGGATGCGATGAGTTATTTGCATAGGACTTGATGTGATTTAGCTAGTGTGAGTCAACAGAGAGGGAAGAGGAAAACAAGGGAAGAGTACGCCAAACAGAAGAAGCATATAATGTGGTCCGTGACTCAACATTGGATACTATTGACAGCTTCTACGAATTAGCCATTTCGCTTTTCCAAAGGGAGCAATGCGTCTGACTTGATCCAATGACAGACGGAAGGAGCCTCTACCATGAGTAACAAATAAGTCATTTACACGAGTTCTCACAGCCAGTTCATTCTATTTCGCAGTCCAAGTCCGAAAACCATTTTATTAGGGTCTTCAGACGAGAACCAATTAGTCTGAAGTCATGAGCGAACTGTACTTTAGATTGACCTCATATTTCGCATCTAAAGATGAGGTATTCTTTTCTATGCTTGTGCAATGCTTGATGTGCCCAATTAGGCGCAAAGCCAGCGAGTTGCTTTGACTTTCATCACTTCAAGTTAATCAAACATGATGGCATCATTAGATTTTCTGAAAGGGACCACATTTTCGTCTTCCACGTTCTGGGGCTTCAAGAGACTTCAAAAGTTTATGGAAAGAAGGTGCACACGAGACTGATTGAGTTATCGCATCTAGGCCTGGATAGTGATGATTATAATGATGGTGATGATGATGTGCCTCGTCCTTCTCTAGCTCATGAGCAAACCGTTCACTAACTTCCACCACCCTCTGGCAAACTCGCAACGAAATGAGTGAGTCACGTTCTTAAATAGACAAAACAGTCATGGAACCACGTCCAAAAAGTGGTTAAAATGCTATTCAGGCTAGAGGTCAGCCAAGACTCGTCTGCAGTCCCATCAGAAGAGTGAAATGACTCATGCATCCCATGTTTACAGGAGATGGGTTTTCTAAAAATTGGTCCGTCTTGTGTGTGTGCCACGCGCGCGCCTAGGCATCTCTCTGCCACCGCCTCCACCTCCGCATCCACCTCCCCAGGCTTGTATAAAATTTAGCCCAACGGACAGTGTGCGATGTACGTGCATAATGTGAGGCACAGGGTGGAGAAAAAAGCTTTTGACAGCACCTAAATGCGTGGCGCTCCCAATTTTTGGAGCCCAAAAACAGCCTTCTAATTGGATGAACATGTGATATATGGAAGGACCAGGAGAGAGTTTCAAGCTATTCGGATCAGAACTTCCTTGATTTTCGTTGGCCATACTTTGGAACCCACCATGCTATTCACAACTACTTAATGGCCGCTTTAACTAATCATTTTAACTAGTCACAAAGATCCTTATGAAGGTATTGGCATGAGTCGCTTGGTGTAGTTCTGCGTTGTGGTTGTTTGAATATTATGGAAACTGTTCACGTCGTTCGCATCTTCAATGTTTTAGAGGAGAAGGAAGTTAATGCCTTCTTCTCAAGACCCAATCAAGCTGTCTCCACTGCTTAACAGAGTGCTAGAATCTCACTAACCTTCATATATGCCTACAGGAAAGCTAACAGGTCTAAAAAATTACAACATAAGTTATTGCCTATCGAGAATGCGTATGCTTCGTACCTTTACGTAAATTGCTTTGCAAATTGAACAGAACACCACAGGAGCATCGGGTGAAGAGTGATAGAAGTTGACGACTGGAAGTCGAATTGCGCATATTTTAGTAGTTGTGCTTACAAATGGGCGAATAAAGATGGAAATTGGTTAAATTTGCCTCCGGCCTAGCACATTACAAACGCCACCGATTTTTCCACTTGTAGGACGCTTAGTGCATCAAGCGTAAACACAATGCAACTTGAGGTGCACAATCGACTTCAAATTTTCAGCTGATTCAGTTCTCAGCTTACGTAGCGGTTAACTCGTCCGAAGCGAATTGGGCTATCTCCGACATCACGACAACGGTTTAGCTTCGTGATCAAAATAATGAATGGCGAGTTAGGAAACAGTTAATTCTTGAGCACCACTTTAAAATGCTCAATCGCAAACAGTAAATCTCTATGCACGTATATTTTGAAGGCAAAACTGTCCAAATCGTGTAAGTAAGCGCATTCGCATTTTCCACTTTCTTTGTGCTCTTCCTTCCACATAACGATACTAACGGAGATGTGAGAGAACGCAAAAGAGGAGACGACAAATTGCTAAAGGACAGGGTATGAGTTGAAGGGAAGAGCACGGCCGAGGAAGGTTGTTTAGCGATGCAATTATTTGGCTGCTGGACTAGAGAGCAAGGAGGGGATGAATCGTTTTGCAGGTAAGTCGTCTCCTACGCATTCACCACTTTTTCATCGCGTCTTCAGAGGCGCGTGTCGCATCCACTGCGATTGGTGTTGCAACTGTGACCACTCCACCTCTCAGCCAGGTGAATACGTAGACAGGGACAGAGGTAACGCTTGTCTTGCACACAAGTTATGTACAGTGCTAAAGTATGACCACCTTTGTGATTTGAATCTTGCGCACAGATAAAAACGACAGTGTTATTATATTTATGTATAGGCGGTAGGTTATGGCAGGCTGCGACTCAGGCGAGTGAGAAAAAGTAGAAAAACGCGAGATAGAGAGGAAGGAGGATGGTTGCTTTCATCACAGTTGCATTTGTAGAAAGTTACTAATAAGTAATGTAAGGTCCTGTGGACTGAAGACGGGGGAGGGATAAGGCTATAACAATGCCTTTTTTGGAGAAACTGCGATGAATAGGTGGTGTTGCCTACTTGAGTGGCCGCGAGCAATAGTGCGTGATAGTATTTTTCTATAAAATGTTACTTATTCTCGACGCTTGTAAAAGAAATAGCGGACACACTACTCACCTGCCGTGTTGATTTTCCCATCACGTAAAAGAGCACATTCTTCTTTGATAGCTGGTGAATTATAGTCTGGAAAAGAAAGGGGAAAACCCAAAAATATTCACTAAGAAACTGCATCAAGCAAGACCTCGGAAGCCTTAATTAAATGACTCACGCTTTAGTGAGACCTTTAATTACAAGCAGTACGGATAACTATGAAGGAAGAGAGAATAGAAGGAGGAGCTCAGTGTCATGCTACGGTGAGTGCTGATTAAGTCGAAAACATTGCATTTATTTTGGTGAGTTGATCGATCGGGGACTGAAGTCGCATTAGAAGTACTTTTTGACGTGGAAAGCGGAGAGAAGCTAAGGGAAGGAATAGACAATAAATGAAATAGTTTTTCCCAAATTTCATGTAGCCAAACCACTTTACAAGGACATCACTAAGTATGGCAACAGCTCTTCCATATTTTGTCAAAAATCAGAGAATGCAAGAAATTCATGCTTTATTCAGAACTAAGAGATGACCTTTTTTATCTACTAAGTAGAAGCTTGCTTATGATCTATGGCAGTATGCGTTTGATTTCAAAGGCAGTGAAAGTGGAACCTTAAGTCGCTCGTGTATTTTAAGCGATTTTTAATGCATAATTCGAAGAATTGAAGTAGGCTATTCAGTCACGGTAGGTTAGCATCATGCTTTGGTCGAACAGGTGAAAATTGTCCTCAAATAAGATGGTTTAACAGGTAAGGCGTTATTTCGAGGTGTCTACTTACCGACAACACGAATAGCCATTTCAGCTAGAGAGTTGCCGAAGCCATTGACAGCACTGCACTGATAGCGTCCGCTCACATCAAAGGAGTCTGCGTTGATGGTGAGATTTTTAGTCTCATCGAGGAAATGGGACGGATAGTCCGGCCGAGTCCACTTGTAAAAAGGTGTTTCAAAGGGACAAGAGAGAGTAATCTGGGTATTTAATGGCACCAAATACCCCCGTCGGTGTGTGATTCGTTGTTGTAGTGTCGCTGCCACGGCTGGATCTATTGGAATAAAGAGATTTGAATAAAAGCAGGTTCATAATGCAAACCTGTTAGGTTACTAATGCAACTTCTGACAAGCAAGCGTCTGATAGATTCGGGCAATCGTTCTGTTGCACCGTTAAGAAAATCCATTGCTAATACGCATAATGCGCTGCTATAAACGCACACTGAGTTGGTGATTGTCCTTTTGTACCCTCTGTATGTCCACAGGATTTCTATCGGCAATATTATCTCAATTAAATGAGCTTAGGAAGTCAAGTTTATGCAGCCTAAATAACACTAATATATGAATTACTATTTTGGTAAAATGTCCCCAGATTTGAAAAATGAACTATCCGTGCTAAGCCGTTATTTCTCTCCTTTTGATCTGGATGGTATTGGGAGTACGCTTGTGACATTGGCACGCAGAAGAACCGACAGCAGATTAAGGGGGAAACGGCGCATTGACGAAGATGATACCATATTAGACTGGCATCCCACTTAAAAGAAACTCTATTGGGTGGATTTTCACTGGAATTAATTTTGTCGGCCTCGAGGGGATCTCCCATTCGAGTGCTGTTGACAGTTCCCCTGTCTACTGATTCTGACTTTGGCAAGCGTATCAAAACTTTTCATTGGGACATCGTCTAAAGATACGACTGGTTGTGGCTATCCATGCCAATTCAAATACCATTTCTGGACTACTAACTTCATACTTGTGTGCAAACATTTCAACGAAACAACTGATATGGTTGTAAGCATTTTCACATTCTTTTTTCACCTGTGTTGCCGTCCATCACGAGCGCTAATCACTTCATCTCGCAATTATCAATGAACTGAAACATCTTTTCGTCCCAGCTTCAAAACTTAGTGCCAAAACTCCATCTACCCATGTTCTTAGCGCACAATAGTTTTGTCTGCGAAAAGAGGGAAGAAGTAAGAAATACGGATAGGCAGGACAAGAGTAGATGCAGTTGAAGAACACACGCAAACGAATACGGACGCAAAAACCAGCAAACACTACCCTCGATGTGGTGAGCATTTTTTCACATATCTCAGTGGATGCAGACCGCGTTCGCAAGGAACACATTATGTGCGGAAAAGTTGGTCCTTCAAGGTAGAAAAATCATACTCTTCTCCACTTAAGGCTGCTCAATATGAACTCATTCAAGACTACATTTTCCGGAGAATTGAACAAAATAAATAAAATATTAGCAGATCGTAGATGTAGATGTTATACAAAGGTGAGGTAATACTGTCAGCTATACCTAGGGCAAAAAGGTCAAGGAAGTGATTACAACAGCGAATGCACATAAAATGGTGGCTTATTTTTGCTGATGCAGATAGTGCTGGTCAAGACAGACGGCGAATGCGATATTCGTGTCCCAGACTTCTTAATTTTCACTGTTGAAGTGCGGTTGTTTTGATCGGCACGACAAATGTAATACCTTTTTCACTTCGAGTTTTTCGCAGACTTCTCTGGCAATTAAACGTGACTCATACGAACACCCACACATTAAACTACTAATGGGTTAGACAAATTCACATGCCATAGGAGCATTCACATCCTCATAGCCTTGAGAACCAATTGATTTGGCACCTATTTCTGCAACGCTCAGCCAAAATAGTTCGCATTCCTCAAGTGACTTTTCACAAATCCTGGTATTGCGTTGTAGATGCCACCAAAACAGTATTATGCATCTCAAATGTTTATTTCCTACCGATTTATGGATTTTGTACCTTCTTTCCTTATATTACCTGTATTCCCCCCTTCGTTCTCTCCGAGCCACTATCACGAGTTTAGGATATCATGTAGAAGTATACAATACCGAGATGGGAAACATAAATGAAAGACGAACAATAGAGAGCACTTAATGACGGCTACTACTGCCATTCCACCGTACGATAGCACACTAGAAGACCAGGATGATGAGTGTTGAAGACGTGTTTCGTTGGTCCATGTGAATACACAAGCACCTAAATAAATGCGGAGTTCTGTGTCAAAGGTTGGAGGATTGTCGTCTCATGGCTCCCTATTAAACCAGTCGTAAATAACCTCAGTTGCGCTGAAAATCCACTTACCATGGACTCATGCATTTGTTGATCCCTCATTACGCTGTACATTAATCGTTGGAGTACTTTCAAATAATACTGATCCAATTATATACCTTACCGAAAATCGTATCAACAACATTTTTCCAACACTCCTCCCTTGAAAGTTTTAGCCTACCATACAGATGTACGAGACAGCAAATTGTCCATTGTTGGAGAAATAGTTTTCTTTGAAATTCGGTGCGTAGCTTACTAACCGGAATGTGCGTATCACCTGGGCAAAGTCTCTGGATTACAACTGGTTTGATGGGAGGAGTTTTGCTGGTTTGAGGCGCGTGTGTGGAACTATGAACGGACCAGTGACAAATCAGTAGTCTCACGCATAAGACGTCGACACAATGTCAATCAATCAGCGGATGCATCAAGCTGAATATCGGCAAAAATTAAACATCCAAAACTTCACGTTGCGAGACAAAAGTGAGCCGTTTGCATAAGCTGGTAACGCCACGATCCTTTGCTAAAGTTTTAGTGAAAAGGTTTGCAGCGGTTGCACTTTACTTGGAAGATCCGCATGAGATGAGAATAGGATGGATAAAAAAGAAAAGGATTAGGTAGCCGAGCTTGATGAGGACCACGAACAATATAATGCATGCGCAAAATGGATTTGGAGCGATTTTATAGTGACTTACTTAATCCGCTGTAGGAGAGGGCACAAGCACTGAACATCAGCATCTGTGGAGCGGGCAACAGTTCAATGAATGAGGAAGTCGGGTCTATTGTACGGTGGCAAAAACGCTTTACAGTTATCACATTCAGCTACTAAATTATTTTTACCCTTATTAAGCGTAGTTGCAGGCTTTCGACTTTTTACTACGCCAGTTTTCGCTACTGTGATGTAGCTCAGCCTATTTAACGCTTTGACATTGTTAGAAACCGAAACTGAAAGATTCACTGTGTGTAACTATCTTTGCCTTGCTATTGAATACAGAACAGTAAATAGGTGGAAGCATTGACACGTAAGAAGGCATACATCAAAGCCTATGGGGAGAAGTCCAAAATAGCACATCGGATTGAGTAGCTCATTTAAGAAAGAAGTTCCTCACAAATACCCGACTGGCATTGCGCTCTACGGCCATGCTAGAGATTTAACGGATTCAACTGGCGATGCGATAAAACCAGTTTGCATTCCCTGTAATGCTGTGAGCTATTTGTGGGAGGAATAATTTTAACCAAACTCCTTGCATAAAATCACGTTTATTTCCTTCCCACTCACTTGACCGCAGAGCAGAATGCCCGAGAAAACAACGGGTTCGCAAACATAACAGTTCATCATTGGGGCACACAGATGTTTGAAAGTAAATTTCATGAAGTCACAAACTCAATCTATTCTTGGCTCTACTAAATGTCTATCCAGTATTCACATTAAAGAAAGAATTGTCATAAAGCATTTCGAAGAAGGAGGGAAACGCATCGAAATTGCTTTCCAACCTCCAATAGTAATCATATTTTTCGAACAAATAATGCTATGCACCATTAGCACCCAAAAATTAGTTGTAACAATTATTTGGGTTTCAAATAAGTATGCTGGAAAGCAGGTGAGGAGGCTTTTTTTCCAACCAGACGGGAGCAAACTCGAGGTGCTGTTCCATCCCATGGGATATTATCCCACAGGCGCGCTTAAGCTCACTTGAAAGAGGTTTTGGCGCACAATGTATCATTAGTATTATTTGAAGGATGTTTTTTGCTAACTTAGCTCACAAAGGCCAACGCAGTCCGGAGCTACAGATGTTGAATCTTGATTCATTTAAAATTACAACCGCCTGTCCACAATCGACCTTTTTTGGGTAGCGTGGGCAGGATTCGGGAACGCCATTTCCATCATCAATACTACATAAAGAATTGAATTATAAGGGCTGCGATCACGATCATTTAAAAATGGCATTTGAAATTATCTCAATCAAATCCCTTGGTAGAACGAAACTTTTCTTCAGATTAAGAAACTCAAAATAAGAAATTGGAAGAAGACCCACCATTGGCAGAAACCGCATTGATTGCAAAGATTAGAAGATGGAAGAAGAGTATTGAGGACGCAATGCACTTCGCGGATACTCGTTGTCTGCACAGTGGCGAGTGGTTCAGCATTGGGAGGACGTTGAATATGCTTGTGTGGTGTTGCTGCAATGAAGACGGATGACTGATCAAGAGAGCAATAACGGTACTCTGAATGTACATCTACAGTACCTCCAAATATGCTCACCTTAACCTCGTATTGGTCTGTGGGATGCTTGAGCCCTTGTGCGCACCCTCAACCGGTTTGATGGCTAGTCTTACACACACATGCACACTAACACTGTCCAACATATACATACACAATGCGATTGACAGCCACCATGTCCTGTGTGTTCGCACTTGTCTACGCGTGTTTATGCGTCATGAGTGACGAGTGACGACAAGCCCACGATTTTCTGAAAAAGTGGATAGGACCACTCACACAAATATGCAAACACACACTCTCTAGGCAGAAACGCTTTTCACCCACACGCGTTTTGGCACGTTTGTACGTCTGCGACAGGCCATTGCCGTCAGATTCTCGGAATCGCTTGCTAGACTGCGTGCAATATATACCTCGGTGACTTCCCCACCGTTCTGACAAACTGGTACGCACAACAAGTTCCATGCCAATACTTCCCACCCCCAGTAAACACATGCAAGTGGGTTCTGGTGGTGAAAGAAAATCTGTCGTGATTTACAAGTTTAACTTACTCAATCATGATAATGTTTGCGGCGAAAATAAAAGTTAATTTTTATTATTAGCCCTGCCCCCTAATGGATAGTATTTGTAGCATTAACAACCCAGCATCACTTGGAAGTCAGTTATACCGTTCGCCAAATTTCGGGTGAACGCTTGGAACCCACGTTTATTCAGCTTTCATCACCTTTTAATTGCGATGGAACAAATTAAATTCGCAGACAATAATTAAAAGAATGTCCGAACATAAAAGCATAAGCGAAGTCTATACTCCAAACCTGACTGCATTAATGATGGTCCTAGTTCCTACGCCCTCGAAAGTGATTGCCACAGACGAATGTGTGTAACTCGACATCTCTTCACCCGTGCCTTCACTATTAGCGCCGTGAATTGGATGCCACAAGCTGGATCATCGATAGGTTGGCACAAGTTTTAATCTCAAAGGAAGTTGATAAAATGACCGACTTTATCCAGAGGTGGGCCATTTAAGAACAGTCACCCATTTACAGTACTTGGCAATAATACATTTAGATTTTATGAAGTACTTTAGCCATTCACTTTGGAGGCGAGATTGCCGAAAAAATGGTAGCTTGATATGTTGCCCAACACAACAGCTCCGCAACAGACGCGTGCTAACTTCAGTTCCTTCCCATCACGTGCAGAAGTTCTCATTTTCTGCTTGCCTACGTAGGACGATAACGCATCTCGCTTCCCGTTTTCGTGACTTTCTCGCACTTCTTTGTTATGCATGGCTGTCAAATAAGCAGTTGCGATGGTATAGAGAAAAAGAGCATTTTAACTCTTCCAAGAGCCTGCATCTTTCATCCACTGGAGGAATCAGTTATTTTCGTATTCACGCTACAAAAAGGCGACTATGATACCATGGTAATGCACGTGTTCATTGTGATTACGTGTTTTGATAGCCAAAGCACACGCTGCGCATTACTAGACAAACAATTAACGGACTTCTTTTGGACAATAACCGATAGACTAAACACTATTGCAGGTGCTAGTTATTAGAGGCTCTCGGTTGGCTATTCTTCAGCATGCATTAACCAACCTGCATTATGGGATACGAACGAATAAATCGCGTGTCGTCTTGCCAACAGTTGTGGTGGTGGAAGAAGGGGATTAAGATGTAGCAACGATGATTTTGCTTGCCACAACTCCCGTCGTCTTCAACACATGTGAATAGTAGTGATGAGAGCAGCAACAACGGGTGGGAGGGAGTCCCAGCCGCATGCTCGCGCAGGCACAAGTGCCCTTGCGACGCGTGCGTGTCCACGCGTCCAGGAGAAAAAGAAAAAAGCACCCCATCCCGGCTGGCCTCCATTGGCTAATTTTTGTGCGTACATATGTGGAATTCAAAAAGTTGAGGGCAAGAGCGTGTGTGCGTTGAAAGTGCCTCACCTCGCGCCTACCCCGTGGCGCCCAAGCGCACACGCACCTGCGCGCATAATGCGAGAAGGGTAGAGGAGAGAAAACTCGCAACGAGAACGATGGTGCCGGCAAAACTCTAGGCCTTCAAAAATAGGATGCCGTGGGAGGACGTTCTGCGGAAACGAATAGGCCAGGAAGAGGGACATTGATGCAACGAAACATGACTTAAACGTTGAGAAAAAGACGCCGATTTGTTGGGTTGTTTAATGATGAGTGCGCTCATACACCTCGGTAGAAATTATTTACATTCTATCTTCCCCTAATTGGGACAACGTAAACTTTTAAGAGATTTTTAGTTTAGCCCTTTAAGTAAAACTAATTAAAGCAAATAGACGTCATCATATGCGACTTTCTTTTATAAAAATAATTTGGAAGCAACCTTAAAAGTTTGTAGTAATGTATTTTCACGGTCCAAATTGAGCTAATACATTCCGTGAAGTGGAGTTGTCTCAAACATTTTATTGGCACAGGAAACAAGTATCTTATATACGTTGGTATGAAATGTCTCTCCGCATGTATGCAACTGTTAGGGTCAAGATGAGGAAGTCGCCTTTTTCGCTCTCTCCCATTCACGCGCATGCACTAGTACCAACCGAAGAGACAGGTCATAGTTCCAAATCCACTTCAGGTCATTAAGGCGATGACGATATTTGAACTGTGAGAGAGCTATGGTAATGCAAACAACAAATATTCTGCCTAAAGTACATAGCTAGCACTCATTGGCAGTATCAGAAAGACAGGCTGTTATACCCATCGGAGTGTCGCCTAGGAAAGATTGTACTCTCAACCAGGCGCATTAATAATAGCCTCGAAAACAAATAGAGAAATTCAATGCTACGATTTCCGACTGCATTTAAATAATGATTAAAATTTGGGACTTTTTAAGTGACAAATTATTACAGAAATATGAGGTAATCCAGTAATACAAAAAACTTACGAAATCACTACCACAATGCAGCTCCTCAATGGTCAAGTCACGTAATGTTAAGACCATTAAAATACTCAGAGAGTCTGCTTATGAATATTTGAGCATTGGCATTGAGTCTTCGCAACGGGCGTATGGTAGTGTTCGTAACCCAAGCAGGACGGCGCAGCGCGCATGGCCTCCCTAATCACGTGCACTCGTGCATGCTTAAGTGCGTAGGTGCTTCCTTCTTAAGTCTCTGATTGGTCAGCCTTTACTCTCTCCTTCAAGACCCGACTGACTCGTATCGCCAGTTGCCCTTAGGACTTCGCTATTCGCAGATAAAAGCACCACTGGGCCCTAACGGCTCAAATTGAACAAAAATGACAATAGAGTTTAAAGGTGGTATCCTTTTGGCCGACTCAGCTTTGAAACTAGAGTGCTTTACTTGCGTAAATATGATGATGTAATTCTCGAGCACCATGATTAGAGTAATTACTTTGGGCACCAAAAGAGTGCTTTAACCAAACCATTATCAGACTGTAAGTCCGTCGATTGACGATTGCGCTTCCACTAACCGATTCATTATCTTCGCCTTGGAATAAGGGAAAACTGAATTTTGGTTGACTATAGATCCATAGTTATTTAAACACATATTTGGTTTAACCTTCGTAGGATTAGCATAGTGTCTTCAGTTTTGGAGTATTTCATTTGCTAATTTGTGCTGCTCAGTTGTCTGCCCTTGGTAGTGAGCATTGTCCTCCTCATTTGATCGAGAACACCAATTTTGAATTAAACCTCCCAAATGTTGCTTCCGTTGTCAAAAGCTTTATACTGCTAGACCTACATCATCGTTTTACTCTATGTGACGTGTTTCAATGTTTAAGCTAAGTAGTTCATTCTGAAGAACTGATTGCCTGCAAATAGGTTCGTGATTCGCATTCATATTCTTATACATCCACAATCACTAAGCGAAACATGGCTAACTGACTGGATTTAGACCGCAATGGCATCGATAGTGGAGGAACTAGTAGTGCTGGTCGCAGTAGTCACCACATCACATCTTTTTTTTCTTTTGCAGTCTTGGCTGCGTATCACTGCTCGTCGCCTCGCTCTTGTGCAGGACGAAATATAGCCGGCAGATATCAGCACGCGACCGTAATAAATCATGGACGTTACGCGCTATTGCGCCCCAAGTGCCATGACAGCTATGCACGAGAAGAAAGTAAGAGTGAGAAGGAAAGAATAACCGTCACACAAACGCCGCTGTTACCACGAGCTACCAACCGAGAAGGAATTTCGAAGTTCAAGCCAAAAGCAAAAGTTGAGACGGTCGTAAATTGCAGGCGTGCACGGACAGCTTAGGAACGTCAAGCGTTGGCGAAATGCAATGACGAAAATTGCTGTGTTTACTTGATTAAAATGAAAATTGTGAGGGAATTTAGGATATTGTGGCTGAATTCACTACACAGTTCTCAAGAGATTACTCTTGATAAACAATTCCGACCACGATCTTGTCTAGGCAGTTGTATATTGCGCACAGGGTACTCTACCTAAACTTTTAGTACGAACTTACAAATTCTACCCTCAAAATGTATCTTGATATTTGGTAAACATGCGCGAGAATGCTCCGTTAAGCAAACACATTTAGCGGTCATGTTTTGGGTTCTTGAGCTTTATGCGATTTACACTTACAAATATGCGTTTTTGCGGAGATTATGTTTACAACAACGATTAGTATATTTGTACAGATTTTGGCATAAACATGTTTACAACAATCACACCAATTGTGCTACTTGACTCCAAGGAATGGAGGAAACGTCTAGTGGTGCCCCCTGCTCACCATCACCCACACACCCCTGTATATTGCAGGAGGCAAATGTCGTTGCTCTAATGACAGCGCTATGGTTTTCTGCCCAAAGCCGAAAGGACTGAGGGATGAACATGCGTAGAGGCTCTACAACGATGTGGACATTAAGGTGTTCTTATATAGTCACTAAGAGACATATAACATGGACCATTTAGCCATTCAACTTGCGTTGGCTTTCCTCAAAATATTTTGT